GTGAATCTTGTGGTCAGTCTTCAAAATGTGCAGGGCTGGGCTGTGGGGTGCATCAGCGCCCATCGCGTGCGCTCTGGGCTGCTGTGTCCTGCTGCAGGTGCTCAAGGCTGTGGCCCTGGGGTAGGGGGTGGGCGCTGGGCAAGGTGCTGAATTGAACCGCCCCCCTGCATGCCAGCTCTGTGAACAAAACTGTTCTCTCCTCTCCTCCTCGCTGCCCACCGGCCCCTCTGTCTGCAACCGCCTGCTGGCCTCTGCATGGCAGAAGTCCTCCAGCTCTGCGTCCTCTGAGGCCTCGGAAACCTGCCAGTCCGTTAGCGAGTGCAGCTCCCCCACCTCGGTCAGTGCTCCCAGCCCGGCCCCAGGACAGTCACCAGCTGCCCCTCCTATCCGTGCCCTCCCCACCTGGTGCCATTACCACACAGAGGGCCTGGGTTCAGCCGGGGGTGCGTGCACACAGCACCTGTCCCCAAGAGACAAGCCGCCTGGCCACTTCATACAGTCACTGCCCACACAGCCACATCTTACCCCTGGGCCTGGTGGGACTGAGGGGCCACGGTCACACTCCATGTTCTGCCCTTGGCTGTGACTGTGAACCAGAGGCCCTTCATAGCCCTGGACACCGTGAGCCTCAGCCACAGTGAGGGGCCCCCGGGCTGTAGATGGTAGGGCCAAGGGTCCCCCTGAACTGCCACACCCTCCCTGCAGGACTGGTCCAAGGTTGGCTCCCACGAGCAGCCCTCAGGCGCCACTCTGCAACGGAGGAAGGACCGAGTGGAGCTCCTGAGAGACACAGAGCCAGGCCCTGCCAGTGGGGGCACCCTGGGCCCCAGCGGGGAAGAGGCACCACGACCCCGGATGTCCCCTGCCACCATCGCGGCCAAGGTAGGCCGGCCAGGGCCCCCCTTCACTCCCAGGTTAGTCCCAGGAGGCCCAGCCAGTGGCCTCAGGGCCAGCTCCAACCACCTGGCAGGGCTGCCTGGAGTTTGGGCAGAGGGGATTGGGGGCACAAGGCTTCAGCCTGCACTTTCCCACCCTCAGCACAGCGAGGAGGTGTCCCCCGCAGCCAGTGACCTGGCCATGGTGCTGACGCGAGGCCTGAGCCTGGAGCACCAGAAGAGCAGCCGGGACTCGCTGCAGTACTCCAGCGGCTACAGCACGCAGACCACCACGCCCTCCTGCTCTGAGGACACCATCCCCTCCCAAGGCAGGCCTGCGGGGCTGGGGTGGGACCAGGGATGGCTGGGACTTTGCCATCCAGGAGGGCCCCGTCCTTCCCCCTCTGTGCTCACCCTGGTGGGCTGGGGGCAAGGAACCACCTGGGCCCCCGGCCTTACTTCGTCCCATGCCCCCAGGCTCCGACTACGACTGCTACTCTGTGAATGGGGATGCAGACAGCGAGGGCCCGCCTGAGTTTGACAAGTCATCCACCATCCCGCGCAACAGCAACATCGCCCAGAACTACCGCCGCCTGATCCAGACCAAGCGCCCGGCCTCCACTGCTGGGCTGCCCACCGCGGGGCTGCCCACGGCCACTGGCCTGCCCTCAGGTGCACCCCCTGGCGTGGCCACCATCCGCCGCACACCCTCCACCAAGCCCACCATGCGCCGCGCCCTGTCCAGCGCTGGCCCCATCCCCATCCGGCCGCCCATCGTCCCTGTGAAGACGCCCACGGTGCCTGACTCACCCGGCTACATGGGGCCCACACGGGCAGGCAGCGAGGAGTGCGTCTTCTACACTGACGAGACCGCCTCACCCCTGGCACCGGACCTTGCCAAGGCCTCCCCAAAGAGGCTCAGCCTGCCCAACACAGCCTGGGGCAGCCCATCCCCAGAGGCAGCCGGGTACCCCGGGGCAGGGGCCGAGGACGAGCAGCAGCAGCTGGCGGCCAACCGGCACAGTCTGGTGGAGAAGCTGGGGGAGCTGGTGGCGGGTGCCCACGCACTGGGCGAGGGCCAGTTCCCCTTCCCCACTGCTCTGTCGGCCACCCCCACGGAAGAGACACCCACCCCGCCCCCAGCCGCCACCAGCGACCCCCCGGCCGAAGACATGCTGGTGGCCATCCGGCGTGGGGTCCGGCTCCGCAGGACCGTCACCAACGACAGGTCGGCGCCCCGCATCTTATGATGGCGCCACCCTCCCCATCCTCTCAGGCCCCAGTGCGAGCAGGTGGCCTAGTCTGTGAGCCGCAGGCACTCAAAGCAAAGGCCCAGCCAGGAGAGAGGACAGAACCAGGGCAGAGGCGATGCCACTTTACAGAAAGAGACACCTCACTTGGATTCCAGCATTTAAACGGGAAGTGACTTCTTAGTAAGCCTGGCCGGGACGGAGCCTGCAGGCCTGGGCCTGGTTCGGGGTCTGTTTTATGCTCTTCTGTCCCTCCTCTTCCTCCTCTCGGGCCCTGCCTCTTCCCACAGCAGAGGGGCCAGGCTGGCCTCCCTCTCACCATCCCGGCCTCTCCCAGGGCTGGTCCTGCCTCAGCTCCTCCTGGAATGCTGGCCCCCTCTCCCCTGCCTGAGCCCCCCTCCTCCCCTCTTGCCTTCTCTCTGCCTCTCCCAGGCCCCTCTCTCTCCGGGAAGCAGAGCGGCTGTGGAGGGGCCAGGTGCGCGCTGGGCTGGATGTCTGCTGGGGGCTGGGAGCCAGGGCAGCAGGTTGGAGTTGGGCAGCCAGGCCCTCCCATGTGGGAAGGGAGTTCCAGGGCCCACGCCGAGTCTCAGGGAGGAAACCAGGGGCTGCTTGGGGAGTCCCGGGGGCCCTGTGGTGGCTCCCACCCCTCGCCTCCCCGACCCCGTGAGGCTGGCTGGAGGGGGCCAGGGCAGCTCCTTGGAAACTAGGGCAGCAGGGTTAGGAGGCCGGAGGCCCTAGGGTCACCGGCCAGCCACACAGGCACCGTTTTCAGATGTTCACTTCTCATTGGGTACATCAATCCTTTAACTTTGGGGTCACAGTTTCAGCCACCTTTGGAAGGAGGGGACTGGAGCAGTAGGAGGTGTGGGGTCATTTTATGAATATAATAAAATGGAGCTGGCTGTGGACGAGGACTGTGTGTGGGGGTGAGGGGACGATATAGGGTGGGTGTCTGGGAGTGCTTGGGGGACAGACCCCCCCCCCGTGGCCTGGTGGTACTATGGCAGGAGGAGAAGGGGGGGACTTGGCTCCCCCAGAGCCCTGGGAAAGCTACTGTTCTCTCTGGCGTCTTGAGTGTAGCCAAAATAGGGTTGGGAGACTCCCGGCCTGTCTGCTGTGGTCTGAGCCAGCTGCAAGCCCAGGTAGGGGAGCGAGTCTGGGAAGATTGGCTTTGACTCTCTGTTGCCAGAGGAGATGCCATCCCAGGACAGCCCTCACTGTAGTCCAGGCTTGCGCTGGCAGCGGGGGCAGGGGGAGGGGCAAAGCTGCCCCCACCCCACGAACCAAGTCACGCCAAGTCTCAGCAGGTAAAAGCACGTGAGCCTAAGGCAAGCGGAGGAAGTCCTGGTGGCCCCGCAGGTCAGGAGGGAAAGCAGGGCTCAGAGGGCATCATGGCCCCAGGGCAGGGTCCTACCTGGGGGTCAGGAGCACCTTGGTCTTGATGGAGTGGAGCTGGGTCTGAGCCTCCCAGGCTTGAGCTCCTGGAAGTTCTTGTGCGGTGAGTTGGGACCCCGGCAGGGCAGCTCCTGGGTAAGTCTGGGCACCAAGCAGGCCCTGATGTGCACGGAGTCTCATCAGAGAGAGCTGATGGAGAATGGTCCCTGTAAGTCACTAGGTCCAACAACTGCCTGGCCAAGCACTCAACCCGTGGAGCTCAGGCCAACATCAGGGCCCCTGTTTTAGGGGCCAGGAGAGCAGGTGACCAGTGTGGGGAGTCTTGGGTGGAATTTCTGCTGCACATTCTCCCCAGGGCTGCAGGGGTCTGCTGAGGCAGGGCGGTGGAGCAGGATTCAGGATGTGGTGGGAATAGTATGAGGAGCAGTGGGTGGGCAGGCCTGGGCTTCTGATGGGAAAGGAGGCAGGGGCTTCCCAGAGAGGGGGGCTCGTGTGGCACAGCCCCCACCAACTCCGCTGTGCCCCTCCCCTGCAAGCCCCGGGGGCTGTACATACTCTACCCCATCCCCTCGTCCATCCTGAGACCACCCCTGCCGCCCTTGCGTCGACGTAGCGACCACCTCGTAGGCCCACCCACCTCGGGATCCGAGCCAACCATCCCACATCACAAACTTTGGTTTGGGGGACTTTACGTTTGTTTAATTTCTCATTTTGTACAGAGAAATATTCTTTTCAAAAGCGTCTTTTGACTGAAGTAACTTTCCTGGTGCTGTTGTTAACTCGTTCCTTTTCTTAATTTATTCCCCCACCCCAGGCAGCCCTCCTGGTTCCTACTCACCCTTCCCCCCGCTCCCCTACCCTCCATCCCATATGAACCATTTTGTTTCTTTTCTTTCTGTCAGATTTTGGAAAAATTCTCCTCTCCTCCCCGCCCCCTCCACACCATCCTCCCCCTGATTTAAATAGTCACTGCTACAAGTAACAGAGGCACTGTGAAGATTCCAGTATTAATAAAGGTGTACTGTAATTAACACCCCTGCCTCTGCCTGGCTTCTTTCCCGCCCCATCCCCATACCTCACCTTTCTGACCCCAGATCCCAGCTGCAGGAGGCCAGGCTGGCGGCTCCCGGAGGATCTCAGATCTCCATGTGGGGGCCAGGGCCAGACCTGGGTCTCTGAAATGCCCCACAGGTGTCCCTGCTAGGGGCTGCCTGGGGGCAGCCAGATGGAGGGAGGGAGGATGGCAAGGGTCAAGGCGAGGGGATCAGCCCAACACCGCCTCCCCCAACCCAGGCTTACAGAGGCCCCTGGGCTAGGCAGGTCTGGAACTCCATCCCTGGCATCCCTCTTACTCCACATCCCTTGGGCAGGCTCCATCCACTCCGAATCCACACCCTCAGCCCCGCCCCCATTGACTTCCTGCGCTTGGCCACCTCCCATCCCCTCCAGGTTCACCCCTGAAGATGCAAAGCAAAGCAAACCAAAGGAAGCGGGGTGTTTAATAGAAAAAAGAAACTGGAAGAGCATCCGCTATGGCTAGATGTGGCACTTGGCACCGCCCTCTGCCCCCAGCTCCCCAGTCTGCCAGGCTGGGGGGTCCTAGAATGGCCACGTTGTGCTGCCCGTCTCCCTGCAACCCATGGCTGTGGCCTCACTGCTGCGGGCCACAGGAGGCTCAGCACCCCCTTCAGGCGGGGGGACAGTGAGGGCAGCGCCAGGAGGGGCCAGGAGCTGTGTCCCCATCCACCTTCAGGTCCCCAGGTCCCCTCCGCTCCAGGTGAGGCCATGGCAGCTATGGAAGGCAGGAAGCTGAGCCCTCCTGTGGCACAGAATCCCCCTCAAAGGAAAAACCCCTTCCCCGGGGTCCTCTCCCAAGGGGGGTCTCACCACCACCCCTTGAAGTCTCAGGTCCAGTTGAACTCCTGTGGGAGCTGGTCTGGCTGCCCCTATCTGCAGTCACTATCCAGAGTGCTCAGGGCAAGAGGCCCTCGCCCTGTGCCCTGACCGGCCTCGCCAAGCCTGTGGAGTGAGGCGGGGAGCTGGGGGACCACGGGGGCGGAGGGTACAGCTGGGTGGCCGCATATTGCAATGAGGGCTCTGGGCAGTAAGACTGAGGACTTGGCACCTCACAGTCCTGCCAGTTTAGGACGGAACTTTGTTTACCTGCAAGGGGTAGGAAAAAAAAAAAAAAAAGACTGCAGCAGTGTTCAAGACCACCCGCCCCACCAAACCAAGCCACGTGTGCAGGTCCCCCACCCTACCCAGGGCCCATCCTGGCTTCCAGAAATGGCTTGTAGCCCTGGGGAGCAGAGGATATGCCCAGGAGGATGCCGGCCCTGCCAGCTGGCCTGGGCCCAGATGCCCGACCTCCCGCCTCCAGGCCCCATCCCCTGAGAGCTCCTTACAGCAGGAGCAGTACAGCAGCTCCATGACCCGGAAGCAGTTGTCCAGCAGGGCTTTGGGCCGCACCGGCTTCAGGTTCGGCCCTGGGGCATTCAGGAGGGACAACACGGATTCCACCTTGGGGCTGACCTCCACATCCTGGAAAGGAGGAAACCATCAGGAGCGGCGGCGAGATGGGGCCGCACCCCAGGAGAGCCGTGAACGCTGTCCAGTTACCTGGAGCTGCCCAAACCCCAGAAGAAGGACCAGATATCCTGTGACTATGAGCCTGGATAGCTATTTCTCACCATCTTCTTCCTGTGGGCGTGGGGAGGGTCCCAGCTGCCACCTCTCACCCATGCACAACTCAGAGGCTTTGCTTTTTTTCCATCCTTGGAAAAATGAGTAAAGGGCTTAGGCCAAGACAGTGAGGAAAGTGGGGTATCTCGCGCCCAGGCGCAGCCACCCACTACTGCGTGAGGACCCCCTGACCTGGGGAAAACTGTCTCTCAGGAAACAAACACCTCCATCAACTCCAAGGAACAAGAGAAGGCCCTCACAGGGACACTGAGGCTTAAGTCACATACACAGGGCAGGGTGTCCAGCTCCAAGCTGGTGTGGTTTCTCTCCACGATACGCAACAACAGGGTCATGTGGGGTGTAGCGTGGCACCGAGGGAAGGAAGTCCCTGAACAGGAGGTCAGGGCCACTGCAGAAAGTATCGTGGGAAACGTGGGGGTGATCTTCTGGAAGGGGGCGACCACCCAGGCAGCATGTCCTGGGCCACATTGTCCCTCTCCTCCCCCAAAAAGCTGTGTCTTCGTCCTACCCCTTGGTACCTGTGAATGTGACCATCTTTGGAAAAAGGCTCTTTGCAGAGGTAATTAAGTTCAGTATCTTAGAAGGACATCATCCTGGATTTCGAGTGGGCCCTAAATCCAATGCCTGATGTCCTTGTAAGAGAAAGGTCACAGAGACAAGGAAACACAAGGCAGAAAGCCATGAAAAGACTGAGACAGCCAGGCACCGTGGTTCAACCTGTAATCCCAGCACCTTGGGAGGCGGAGGGAGGCATATCACTTGAGGCCAGGAGTTCAAGCCCACCCTAATCAACATGGCAAAACCTCGTCTCTACTAAAAATACAGGCATGGTGACGGGCATCTGTAATCCCAGCTACTTGGGAGGCTGAGGCAGGAGAATTGCTTGAACCTGGGAGATAGAGGTTGCAGTGAGCCAAGATTGCACCACTGCACTGCAGTCTGGGCGACAGAGTGAGACTCCCTCTCAGGAAAAAAAAAAAAAAAAAAAAAAAAAGCCACCACAGAGGCCAGGTAGGGTGGCTCATGCCTATAATCCCAGGACTTTGGGAGGCTGAGGCAAGAAGATCACTTGAAGCCAGGGGTTCAAGACCAGCCTCAGCAACATAGTGAGACCCCATCTCTAAAATAATAAATAAATAAAATGAAATGAAATAAAAAAGAAAAAGAGCCACCAAGGAGATCAAGGAGTCTCCTGACTTTGTAGGAATTGAGACCCTCCCCACCAGTCTCGTCCCAGGAAAGCTCCAGGCAGCTGCAAAAACAGGTGCTGGTCCCTAAGCCCTTTCACCATCGGAAGCTCACAGTTGGCCTGGGAAGTTCTGCCCACAGTCTGGGCCTTTTCAGCAGCTGGCTGGGCTGGGCAGCAGGTGGGTCCCCGGGACAGGTGTGCATCAGAGTCCTGAGGAGGGCTGGTGGGGATGGGGAGAGGCCCCATAGCACACACGGCCCGCGTGGGTCATCTTGCCACCTTCCTTTTTACTACGACTCAGGCATTTTAGAGGACAATATCCCTGAGGCCTCAGATCAATTTCTCTGAGCAGGGTGGGGATGGGGGACCTCTTTTTTTTTTAATTAACTAAAGTCCATAATTTAATTAGCGTTCACACTCTGTGTTGTACAGTTCTGTGGGTTGTGACAAATGCATGATGTCATGTATACACCATAAACGTATTACACAGCTTTTTTTTTTTTTTTTTTTTTTTTTTTTTGAGATGGAGTTTTTCACTCTTGTCACCCAGGCTGGAATGCAATGGTGCGATCTCAGCTCACTGCAATCTCTGCCTCCCAGGTTCAAGCGATTCTCCCCCCTCAGCCTCCCAAGTAGCTGGGATTACAGGTGCCCGCCACCAGGCCTGGCTAATTTTTGTATTTTTAGTAGAGATGGGGTTTCACCATTTGGCCAGGCTGGTCTTAAACTCCTGACCTCAGGTGATCCACCCATCTCGGCCTCCCAAAGTGCTGGGATTACAGGCACGAGCCACTGCGCCAAGCCCGCAGCGTTTTACTGCCCTAAACATTCCCTGTGCTCCATCCATTCTTCCCCTCTCCCCCTACCCTCCAGGACCCTCATGTTGCAGAAACAAAGAGGGTACGATGACTTGCCCAGGATCCAGAGGGAGAGAGGCAGAGCCTAGAACAGAGTCTCAGAGGCATCGCCTGCCCCCCGAGCCCAGCTCTCATGGCCACCACGGCCGCCGCTTCCTTCCACAGGCCTCTTTTCCCGCACTCCTCCGCCACTTCTCCCATGCCCCTTGGCTTGTGCCCATCTTTCCGTGTGTTCACCCTTTCCCTCACCAGCCCTCGGCCACACCTCATAGATTCATACATGCGCATGCTCACACACACACATGAACACACGTGTGCACACACACGAGCCCCGCCTGCCACCCTTCCTCACGACTCACCATGAGGCCCTTCTGGACATTCAGCAGCAGCGTCTGCACCTCCTGCAGGTACTTCCAGGACGGGTGGCCGTCGAGCAGCACGTCCTGCACCGACTCAGTGGCACTGAGACTTACCAAGACCCACAGATACCGCAGCTCCCGCTCGCTCACGCGGGCCCTCTGCTGCGGAGACAGGGAAGTCACTGCAACCCCGGAGACACAGGCCTCTGGGCTCTGACCACTCTGACCACCCCCTCACCAGGAACGTGCCCCTGCACAGGGAGCAGACACGGGCCATCTACTGCGGACAGTGAACAAACGTGTGCCTGGGCCAAGGGCCAGCCTGCTCTCGGGGCTGAGGAGAGGCCCCAGGCCAGCAGCACCACCTGCCAATCCCAGCGCGCCTCTGAGGTTGGGCCCACCAGATGTCGCAGGAAGTGGGTCCCCCCAGCCCAGGAAGGGATACTTACCAGCCTGGTGACATTGGCGATTCTGAACACCCCCTCGTAAGGCACACTGATCTTGTAGTTGATGGGGAAGTAGTGTTTCTAGAGAGGCACAGGAACAAACTGTGAGGCCAGAAGTAGAAATGACCAGCAGGCTCCCCAGCCTCCCAAGTGATCCTTTTTTAAGACTTAGCCTCACTCTGTCACCCAGTCTGGAGTGCAGGGGCAGGATCATGGCTCCCTGAAGCCTCGACCTTCCAGGCTCAAGCAATCCTCCCACCTCAGCCTCCCAAGTAGGTGGGACTACAGGTGTGTGCCACCACGCCCAATTTTTTTTTTATTTTTTGTAGAGATGGGGATTCGTCATGTTGCCCAGGCTGGTCTTGAACTCCTGGGCTCAAGCGATCCTTCCGCCTCAGCCCCCCCGAAGTGCTGGGGTTATAGGCATGAGCCACCACGCCCGGCCTCCAGATGAATTTTGACGTAGAAGGAGAGAACTCAGGGCCCAGCCTTTTGATGGCAGAGGTGGTCCTGTGCAGAGAGGTCTGCCTGGCTCCTAACTGGGATAAGAACAATTCATTTTCCTCTGGGACACAGGGAGGGCGAAACAAAATACGCAGCTCCTATTAAGGCAGAAGTTTCACGCTCAAGAGTGAGGGCACGCTACTTCAAGAAAAACATATTATTTTGTGGGTGAGAATCTTTTTTTTTTTTTTTTTTTTTTGAGACGGAGCCTGTATCTGTCGCCCAGGCTGGAGTGCAGTGGTGCGATCTCGACTCACTGCAACCTCCACCTCTCGGGTTCACTCCATTCTCCTGCCGAGTAGCTGGGACTACAGGCGCCCGCCATAACGCCCGGCTCATTTTTTGTGTTTTTGGTAGAGACGGGGTTTCACCGGGTTAGCCAGGATGGTCTCGATCTCCTGATCTCGTGATCCGTCCGCCTCGGCTTCCCAAAGTGCTGGGATTAAAGGCATGAGCCACTGCGCCCGCCCAAATATCTTATAAAAACTACGATGGTGATGGCTGCACAACTCTGTGAACTAAAAAACCTTTGAGTTGTGCACTTTAAATGAGTGAATTATGTCTTTTATATATAAATATGTACATTCTATCTCAGTAAAGCTGTTAAAATAAAAAAGACATAAGCCAAGTGCAGTGGCTCATGCCTGTAATCCCAGCACCTTGGGAGGCTGAGGAGAGAGGCTCACTTGAGCCCAGGAGTTTAAGGTTACACTGAGCTATGATCCCGCCACTACACTTCAGCCTGGACAACAGAGTGACACCCTGTCTCTAAAAATTAAATTAATTAATTTAAAAAGTTACATAGGTCAGGCATGGTGGTTCACACCTGTAATCCCAGCATTTTAGGAGGCCAAGGTGGGCATATTGCTTGAGCCCAGGAGTTCAAGACCACCCTGGGCAATATGGTGAAACCCTGTCTCTACTCAAAAAAAAAGTTTTAATTAGCTGGGCATGTTGGCCAATGCCTGTAGTCCTCGGGAGGCTGAGGTGGGAGGATCATTTGAGCCTGGGAAATGGGGTTGTAGTGAGCTGAGATTATCTACTGAACTCCAGCCTGGGCAACAGAGCAAGACTCTGTCTCAAAAAAAAAAGAAAAAGTTTTTTAGAAAAAGTTAAAAAAAAAAAAAGGGGTGCTGGGCACGGTGGCTCACGCCTGTAATTCCAGCACTTTGGGAGGCTGAAGCGGGCGGATCACGAGGTTAAGAGATGGAGACCATCTTGGCTAACATGGTGAAACCCCGTCTCTACTAAAATTACAAAAATTAGCTGGGCATAGTGGTGCATGCCTATAGTCCCAGCTACTTGGGAGGCTGAGGCAGGAGAATTGCTTGAACCCGGGAGGTGGAGACTGCAGTGAGCCAAGATTGAGCCACTGCCCTCCAGCCTGGCAACAGAGTGAGACTCCGTCTCAAAAAAAAAAAAAAGACGCATATAGCCACACAGATATCTCCACTCTGCAAAAAAACCAAAGACTCCAATTTCTAGGTCTTTATCTCCCCGGCTAATAAGTGCCTGGGGTTCCTCGAAGAGCTCCAGGTGTACATTCCTGAGTCATATGGTGAGTGCCACTGTGGAGGTGGGATTAAAGTGAGATCAAAGAGCAGTGGAAGCTCCAGGAGATGGCAGGAGAGGGATCAGTAAATGCAGACCAAGTGCATGGGTAGGTTTCGGAGAAAGAGAAATAGGCCATGGTCAGCTCAGGGCTGACACGGGTCCTAGGAAGGGCTCTGAATGTCCAGAGGCCTATGCCAGGTGAGCCCCGGGACACAGGGACAGGGACAGGGACACAGGTGGTGCCCACATGGTTACCATGTACTGAAGTCGGTTCCTGTACTGCAGCTTGTCCCGCAGAAAACCTGTGACAGTGCACTCCTCACTCTGCGTCAAGGGCCATATCTCCAAACGCTCGTTCCCACAGGCCATGCCAAGGAGGATCCCAATATCTGTGGACCACACACAACAAGAGCACATGAGCACCCTCCATCTCATCCATGCTGTCCACACGTGCAAAGCCGAGCACGACCGTCATCCGTTCGCATAGGTGACAAGCACCGATGGGAAAAGTGTGGTGGCGGGCACGGGATCTGGAATGCTTTCCCTGGGGTCTGGCTCCAGAATAGCAAGGTCAGGCAGGCACGAGCAGTCCAGAGGGTCCACATCCACCCCACGCCAACCACTGGAGCCCCCCAGGAAGCACGCCCCAGGGTCGACGTCTGGTCTCCCCGCTTCTCTCGCTCTGTGAGGCAGGCACAACCTCCCACCCATGACAGCCTCAGCCCCTGGTGTCCGGCTGACATGTTTTCAAAGCTCGGTGCTGGGTTTTCCAAGCCAGGCATTCAAGGAGATCGAATCATCCTGGATTCTGGTTTCCACTTGACAAATGACTCTTCCGTCATCCACCCCACCTTCTTTCCTGCTCTATCTGATCTTAGCGTCCCTCCCAGCTGACTACGCCAGCGGGTCTGTCGCGTTTTCCAGTCTGGTCATTCTAGGACGTTAAGCAGATCTCACACTTGGCTGCGTCTCTTCCTGCAACAAATGAACCGCTGAAACATTACCACCCTTTGCCAATGGGGGTCACTGTGACTTCAAAAATAGCCTAAACGATTTCCAAGTGACTGAACAGAAAAAATAGGAGAGAATTCGCAACAAATATGAAAAAAGGTTAAGTCCATCAGAGCAGAAAGAATAAAACAGAAGTAGGCCAGCAACTACCCAAAATATCAGACTAACTAGATAAATAAATTCATATTAAAACAATCAGATATAATTTTTTTCTTTCTTTTTTTTTTTTTTTGTCACCCTGGCTGGAGTGCAGTAGTGGGATCACGGTTCACTGCATCCCAGAACTCCCAGACTCAAGCGATCCTTCCGCCTCACCCTCCAGAGTAGCTAGGACTACAGTTGCAGGCTACTATACCTGCTAATTTTTGTATTTTTTTGTAGAGACACAGTATCGCCATGTTGGCCAGACTTGCCTTGAACTCCTGAGCTCAAGCAATTCTCCTGCCTCAGCCTCCCAAAGTGCTGGGATTATAGGTGTGAGCCACCGTGCCTGGCCCATTTTTCATATATTCAAATGAAAGTTTTTGTGTTTGTGGTTTTGAGTCGTTGGGGCTTTTTTTTTTTTTTTTTTTGAGACAGGGATTTGCTATGTTGCCCAGGCTTATCTCCAACTCCTAGTGTCAAGCGGTCCTTTCACCGTGACCTCCTGAGTAGCTGGGATGAGAGACAAGTGCCACTACACCCAGCTTCCCAGCCTTTTTTTTTTTTTTTTTTTTTTTTGAGGGGGATTGGTTTTTTTGTCCGGCTGGGTGGGGGTGGGGGGGGTCTTGGTTCCGCCAAGCTCCCCCCCCCAGCCTTTTTTTTTTTTTTTTTTTTTTTTTTTTGAGACGGAGTCTGGCTCTGTCGTCCAGGCTGGAGTGCAGTGGCAGGATCTTGGCTCACTGCAAGCTCCACCTCCCGGGTTCACAATCATTCTGCTGCCTCAGCCTCCGGAGTAGCTGGGACTACAGGCGCCCGCCACCACGCCCAGCTAATTTTTTTGTATTTTTAGTAGAGACGGGGTTTTACCATGTTAGCCAGGATGGTCTCGATCTCCTGACCTTGTGATCCGCCCGCCTCAGCCTTCCAAAGTGCTGGGATTACAAGCGTGAGCCACCACGCCCGGACTTTTTTTTTTTTTTTTTTAAGACAGAATCTTTCTCTGTCGCCCAGACTGAAGTGCAGCGACACAATCTCAGCTCACTGTAACCTCCACCTCCCAGGCTCAAGCAATTCTCATGCCTCATGCCTCAGCCTACCAAGTAGCTGGGATTACAAGCAAGCGCTACCACACCCGGCCGATATTTGATATTTTCAGTAGAGATGGGGTTTCACCATATTGGCCAGGCTGTTCTCAAACTCCTGGCCTCAAGTTGATATCCCTGCCTCTGCCTCCCAAAAGTGCTGGATTTACAGGCATGAGTCACCATGCCCAGCCATACACCCAACTCATTTCATTTTAATAATTAATACTTGATGTTGGCCAAATAGTGCTGTCCTGGAAAGCAATTTAGCAATTTCTGTTATTAATGGATTTAATAGTATCTGTACTCTTCAAACCACTAAGCCTTAAAAATGTCAATACCCTTTTACCAACTAAATTCACTTCTAGGAATAAATTGGAAGAAAAATAAAAAAGATATAACCAAAAAATTATGAACAAAGATGTACAGAGCAGCATTTATTTCGTAACAGTGAAAATATGGATATGGCCTAGATGTTCCATAATAATGCACGTAGCCAATAAAAATCACATTGCCAAAGACATGGCTGTGCTATGAGAAAAATTAGATATGCTTAGTGAAGCTTAAAAATAGCGTGACTCAACACTATCTGTGTTCCTACCATGACTACCAAATCTCTATGGGAGATTTTTTCATGTTTTTATTTTTTTTCCAAATAGGGTCTTGCTTTGTTGCCCAGGCTGGAGTGCAGTGGCACCATCATTGTTCACTGCGACCTCGAATTCCTGGGTTCAAGCAATCCTCCCTCCTCAGCCTCCCAGTAGCTGGTACTACAGGCACCACCACCACCACACCCAGTTAATTAAAAAAAAAAATCTGTAGAGACAAGGTCTTGCTGTTTTGCCCAGGCTGGTCTCAGACTCATATGCTCAAGCGATGCTCCCACCTTGGTCTCCGAAAGTGCAGGGATTACAGGCATGAGTCACCACACTTGGCCTTGGCCTTTCAGGGCATTTTTTATGTTCTATAATCCATATCTATTATTGTTACAGACAAAAGCAATAACCATCCTCCTTTTTTTTTTTGACAAAAGCAGTCAGGCAGGCTGAGTCACCTCCCGAGCCAGCCCCAGCTATGAGTAGGAATTACTGATCGGATTTTCCCCACTCCCCAGCATCTTGGAAGACTTTGTCCTTACAGCCCCTCTGGTCTGAGCCACACCACCTATTTGCTACCTCCTCACTGCCTTCTCCAAACCTGCCCTGCTCAGGCCTCCTGCCTGGCCTTTGCCACTACGGGACCTCCCACCAGGAGTGCCCTTGATCAGCTCAGAGCCTCAGGCCTCCTCAAGCCCTGTACCCCACATAGCCCCACATTTTTTGCTAAGTTGCAAGTTTGCAATCTATCTTGCACTTCCTCTCTCTCTCTTCCCCTGTGCCTGATACAGTATTGGGCCAGAGGGACAGATAAACACGAACTAAACCAGCATTTGGCCCTTTAACATCTGCTTGCTTTCTGTTCTAAAGTCCTGAATCCCTCGGCTTGGCACCCACCGTTGCAGGTCAAGATCATCCCTGCCTCCTAGGCTCATGCTTTGCCTGCACGGGGTACCCTCTCACACTACAGACCTCTTTCAAAGCCTCCCAGAGACTCTTCTTTCCCCCCAACACCCCGCCAGGGTCTCCCCTGCCTGCACCAGCCCCCATCAATCTCTGTCTCCAGCACCACCTTCCCCATTCACTCACGACCTTGACTTTGGTATGTGAATCCATAACACAGTTAAACACTGCACAGCCCAGCGTGCTGAGCACTTCACATGTGCATTTGGGGATTTGCCTCAAGCAGTAGAAATGGGAGCAGAGCTGGTTAAGGCACAGGTCGTCCTGCCTGCCCCAGAGTCTCTGCTCAACCAGTCGAGGATGCGGCCAGAGAATCTACCTTTCTAACAAGGTCCCAGGTAAAACTGTGGCTGGGGGTCTAGAACCACACACCTAGAGCAGCAGTTGCAAGCTGGTGTCCCAAGGGCCACCTATGGTCCACAGGGATTTCACATAACAATTAAAACTTTCAGCTTTTCTTTAAAAAAATCAATATCTCTGTCCACACTGGGTCTTTTTTCCTGTGTGATCATCACCATTGGCCGTCTACTCCACCCCTCAACCCTACAGCAGCTGCCCTTCTCTGTGTCCCGTCTGGGGCCTTGGGGACCCGGCAGCTGTGGCCTCAAGGCAAGAACTGTGCCTTGGAATGACACTGAGCCTCCCAGCCTGGCATGGTGGGCATACAGACTGCCCTGGAAACGCTGTCCCCAGATGATCTGCCTCTCCCCCAGCTGGGCAGCCTTCCTCCGAGACTGCAGCCCAAACATCACTGCTAAGTGTAAGTTGCCTTTTTTACTGCCTCCACCCACCCAGAGAAACAGGTTAACAGAGAGGCACCAGGCAAGGACAGCACAGCCCCAACCTCAAGGCCACTGTCCCCCACATACTCTATACACCAGGAACCCCACAGCCAGTGCCACCCCGACCTTAGTCAGGATACCCACCCTGCCTTTGTCTTAGCCCAGAGGTAAGAACCCACAAGACAGGCTGGGCACGGAGGCTCATGCCTGTAATCCCAGCACTTTGGGAGGCCGAGGTAGGCGGATCACCTGAGGTCAGAAGTTTGAGACCAGCCTGGCCAACATGGTGAAACCCCATCGCTACTAAAAATACAAAAATTATCCAGGTGCAGTGGCAGGTGCCTGTAGTCCCAGCTACTCGGGAGGCTGAGATATGAGAATCATTTGAATCCGAGAGGCAGAGGTTGCAGCGAGCTGAGATTGCGCCACTGCACTCCAGCCTGGGTGACAGAGTGAGACTCCATCTCAAAAAATAATAAAAATAAAAATAAAAATAAAATAAATAAAACAAGTTGCCAGACAGAGAGGAGGCTGAAGAAAGATCCGTGTGAGTACAGTACTCCCTTCCTTGTTCCCTGGCCCTGGGTGGGGGGCAGGAGGGGCCTGCCCCCTCTCTGAGATGACCCCATGTGCAGTGACAAGTGAGGCTTGTCACCCCCAGCCCCGGGGACCAAATTTGAACCTGTGCAGTGGGTTAAATAGCATCTCCTCCAAATCCACGTTCACCCGAACCCCAGAATGTGACCTTGTTTGGAAATGGGGTCTTTGTGAAGTAGGAGGTAGGACCAACTCCAGAGGCAGAGTCCTGACACTGGACTAAATTGAGGACTAGTGAAAACAGGGATGGACAGGGCAGAAGCAGCATTCCAAAAGACATGCCCAGCAGTGCGCTATGTCAGTTTACCATTGCCATGGCAACGGCTGGGAGTTACCACCCCTTTCCATAGCAATGACCCAATGGCCCAAAAAGTTACTAGAAATGTCTGCATAAACTGCCCCTTTATCTGCATGCAATTAAAAGTTGGTATAAATATGACTGCAAACGGCCCTAAGCTGCTCCTCAGTATGCTTCCTCTGGCACAGCCCTGCTCTGCAGGAGCTGGCACGGAGCTGTAACACCTCTTCAGTAAAGCTGTCTTCTCCTACCCACCAGCTTGCCTTGAATTCTCTCCCAGGCAAAGCCAAGAACCCTTGCAAGCTAAGCCCCCTTGGGGGCTCGACTGTCCTGTGCCACTTACAGGCGTTATTAAATGAAGGATGTCAAGATGAGGCCATCCTGGATTTAGGCAGGTCCCTAAATCCAGTGACTAGTGTCCTAGGAAGAAGAGGAGCGGACACAGAGACACGCAGAGGGAAAAACCACATAAAGACAGAGGGAGATCTGCGTGACTAGGCCACAGGCCAAGGAGGCCAGGAGCCACCAGGAGCTGGAAGAGGCAAGCGAGGCTCCTTCCCAGCACCTTTGGAGGGAACACAGCTCTGCAGGCACCCTGATCTCACACTTCCGGTCTCCAGAACTGTGAGACCGTACGTTGCTGTTGCTCTAAGCCACCCAAAGCATACTAATTGGTTATGGCAGCCCAACTTCCTCAGCACCCCAGTCCCTGGGCACCAGCCCCCATTTAAATCTGCTGCTCTCCCTCTCTCCCTCATCCCCTAGCCAGTCCTTGCTTGGTCCTAAGACCTGCCTCCTGGAGCTTCTACCCCTCTCACTTGCTTTTCTTTCTCTCTTTTTCTTTTCTTTTCTTTCTTTTTTTTTTTTTTTTAAAGACAGGGTCTCACTCTGTTGCCCAGGCTGCAGTGTAGTGATGTAATCCTTGCTTACTGCAGCCTCAACCTCCTGGGCTCAAGTGATCCTCCCACCTCAGCCTCCTGAGTAGCTGAGATTACAGATGTATGTCACCACACCTGGCTAATTTTCCTTTTCTTAGAGATGGGGTCTCGCTATGTTGCCCAGCCTGGTTTCAAACACCTGACCTCAAGCCATCCTCCTGTCTTGGCCTCCCACAGCGCTGGGATCACAGGTGTGAGCCACCAGCCCAGCATCCCTTGCCTTTCATTCGCACCTCCACCTCCAGAATGACCCGTATTCCCTCCTGTGCAGACGGCGACAACAGCAACTCCTACAAACACCGCCAGACTCATCTTCAAGAGCAGAGGAACTCCCAGTCACGACGACACTCCCGCCCAGCTCTCAAATCCTCCAGGGCTGCCTGCTGTGGGGAGGGATGCACGCTTTGCCTGGCTTTCAAGGCCTGTGCCAACTGGGTCCAAACCAGTTCCCAGCCTGGCCTCACCAGCCCACTGCTGAACCTTTGCTCACGCTGGCCCCTCTCCCTGGAACACCGGCCTTACGACCCCAGGTCTACCTGTGTGAGCACCACCCCACGTTCTAGACCATTTCCAGCAGCCCCTCCCCCACATTGCACCCCTGCTTCTCATGACCTAGGGGCTTCCAGAACATTGGGTCCAGCTGAGTCCTTCCACCCGTCCCTAATGTCCCAACCCTCTGTTGTATATTTTCACAAGGGCCAGGGTGGACCCAGTTCTTCTCGGAATCCCTCACAGGCTCATACCCCGAACCTCAAACAATTCCCGAGCACTCAACCCTGTGCCAGGCGTTGGAGACAGAGGCACGAGACAGCAAGGTCCTTGTTGTCATGGCAGTGACTCTGCAGTGGGCACGTGGGAGGCACCAGAAAAATGTGTTGAATTTGAGCCAATTAAATTGAATCTTGGAGACAGGGGATCTTGGTCTGGCCTCCCACCCAGTAGGCATGAGAGGCTTCCAGATCCTTTTTTTCCTTTCTGTCCTCATTTCAACTTATTTTTCTTTTTACCAACAGTGTTATCGTTCTGCTTTTTAATTCTGTTCTGTTAGGAGGGAGGGCTGGAGGGGACCAGGCTGCCTTCTCCAGGCACCTGGCTGCTCTTCTGCCGTGGGTCTTGGATCCCTGGACACTTTCACCAGCCCCCGCCCCACCCCCACCGGCCACACCCAGGACTCTGCCTCTGCTGCCCGCACGGGGCTCCCCAGCGCCCACAAGCCTGGAAAGGTGAGATGCTGCCACCTACCCCCAGTGCCTGCCCCGACCTAAGACCACCCTGAGGACCATGCCCACCCAGCCAGAACCGCCCACCCAGCTTGCCCATCAGAGCCCGAAGTCAGCGGCAGACAAGGCAGAGGCTGGCCATGGGAATCCCAGAGGATGTCTGCAGTCCGACTGTTAAGCACCGCAACTTCTCACCAGCAAGAATGCCCTGGTTGCTATGGTTACAGCAGATCCTGGATCTAGGCCAAGGCCTCCCAGGGCAGGTCCCCAGGGACCCCTCCCCAGTACTCACAGCGCAGCCAGGCGAAGCCCCGGGGCATGGTGGTGTTCCTCGTCCCCCTGAGAGCTCAGGCGCTGTCCCCAGCAGTGTGTCCACAGAGGCCTAAGTACGGCCTACATAGCCTTGGGGCAGCAGAGGTGGCCACTGAGTCAGGCAAGGGCTGGCCCTGGAGGAGTGGCCAGGCTGCAGGATCGGGCAGGTGCCCCAGAGGCAGCAGCTGCCCTTATCTGCCCAGCAGCGTGGAGGACAGCCTGGGGGCGGTGGCTGTGAGTCCCATGGCAGCCCAGAAGCAGGTCTGAGCCGGTGGCTTGGGGGGTCTTTCGGGGTCTTCCTTTCCAAGGAGCAGGAGGAGAGTGTCCCTGGCAGGCCCCTCGGAATCTGGGGCTGGGTGACGCTTTCTCTGATTTCTCCGACTGCAGCTGCTCAGTGTGAAATCTGGCTCTGGGAAGAGAAAGGAGGAGAGAAACTGATTATGTAAGAGCAGCACTGCCACTCAGCCATCAGCCACAGTGCACACCGCACCCACAGCCTACACAGGACCACCCGGCCCTGGCAGCTGGACACGGCTCACATGAGAAATGACTTCAGAATGTCCAAGCAGCCCTGGCCCATGAGTGAGTTACGATGACACCAGCTGGCAGCCTGGGGCCTGAACAAAAGCAGGACGAAAGAATGAACAGGTGGTTTGAGTTCACACACTGAGGGCCGTGGTAGCGTCCATGAATGACTCAGGCTGCAGGACAGGTTAAAAAAGCCAATGAGTTCCCACTCCGAAAACAATGCCAGACGTGGTGGCTCATGCCTGTAATCCCAGCACTTTGGGAGGCCAAAGTGGGAGGATTGTGAGAGCCCAGGAGTTCGAGACCAGCCTGGGCAACATAGTAAGACCTCATTTCTGTTAATAATAAATAAATAAGAAAAAATAATTTTTTTTGAGACAAAGTCTCACTCTGTCATCCAGGCTGAAGTGCAGTGGTGTGATCTCAGTTCACTGCAACCTCTACCTCCCGGGTTCAAGCAATTCTCCTGCCTCAGCCTCCCAAGTAGCCAGGATTACAGATGCACACCACCATGTCTGGCTAATTTTTGTATTTTTAGTAGAGATGGGGTTTCACCATGTTGGCCAGGCCGGTCTCAAACTCCTGGACTCAAGTGACCTGCTGCCTTGGCCTCCCAAAGTGCTGGGATTACAGGCGTGAGCCACTGTGCCTGGCCAGGACAAAGGTCTTTACATTTATTGAATCTCACAGCAATCTCATGGAAGCACAAAATCTCAGTTTATCAATGAGGAAACTGAGGCCCAGAAAGGTTAAAACACTTGTCCAAGGTCATACAGCTTGTAAGAAGTGTGACCGGAATTCACACCCTGTGGGCTAGTGGCTGCTCCCAAAAGTCGACACCCACACAGGGCTCAGCACGTGTGCATGGCCCTCCCATCTGCCCCTCTGGACTCTGCAAGGTCTGGACCATTGTGTCCGTTCTGCAGATGAGGCTGGAATTCCGTCTCTGATTTAGTTCTCTTCCACCCCTTGCCTCCTCCCTGTCTCCCCTCTGGTGGGGGGAAATGGCTACAGAGTGACACCATTGGGGGAGAGCAGGTATGACTTTTGCATCTTCTTCATTGTGTGATCCATAGTGTCACCACAGAATGCTGGCCCTTACTCTGGGAGGTGCCCAGCAGGCAGGCAGGGCCTTATAGAGAGAACATGGGTTGTTCAAGTTAATCCCTTATGCAGTCACCCTGAATCTCAGTCCCAGCCGCTACCTACTGCTGCTCCTCTTCCTCGTCTTCCCTCCTCCTTCCTCCTTCCTTTTCCTCCTTCCTTCTCCTCCTTCCTCCTCCTTCCTCCTCCCTCCTCCTTTCTCCTCCCTCCTTCCTCTTTCTCCTTCCTCCTCCTCTTCCTCATTCCTCCTTCCTCCTCTTCCTTCCTCTTCTTCCTCCTCCTTCCTCCTCCTCTTCTTCCTCCTCCCTCCTTCTCTTCCTCCTTCCTCCTCTTCTTCCTCCTTCTCCCTCCTCCTCTTTCTCCTTCCTCTGCCTCTTCTTCCTCCTTCTTCCTCCTCTTTCCCCCTCTCCTCTTTCTCCTTTTTCTTCCTCCCCTTCCTCCTTTCTCCTCCTCCTTCCTTCTCCTCTTCCTCCTTCCTCCTCCTCCTTCCTCCTCCTCTTCCTCCTTCCTCTTCCTCCTTCTTCCTCCTCCTTTCTCCTCCTCTTCCTCCTTCCTCCTCATCCTCTTCCTCCTCCTCTTCTTCCTCCTTCTCCTCCCTCCTCCTCCCTCTTTCTCCTTCCTCTCCTCTCTCCTCCTTTCTCCTCCTCCCCTTCTTCTTCTTCCTCCTCCTCCCTTCTCCTTCTCTCCTCCTCCTTCCTTCTGCCCCTCTCTCCCTCTTCTTCCTCATTCTCCTCCTTCTCCCTTCTCCTTCTCCTCTCTCCCTCCCCTCCTCCTCCTCCTCCATCCCAACCTGGCAGATTCCCTGCTGTTACATTCGTTTGGGGACTTTTTCAGGTTTATTGAGGGCTAATTTACATATACTACATTTTACCCTTTTCAGTATACAATTCTAAAAGTCTTTAGCAAATTCCTTAGAACTATTGTAATTGCTGTAATAATGATGCAAGAACATTTCCATCTACCAATTCCACCTGCAGCTTAGCGAAAGTCAGCTCCTCCCCCAGCCCCAGCCCTAGGCAACAACTCATTTGTTTTCTGTCCAGCACGCTTGCCTTTCTCAGAATGTCAGATAAATACAATTGTAGTGTGTGGCCTTTTGTTTGGCTTCTTTCACTTGGGACACTGCATTTGGGAACCAGCCATATTGGAGTTAACACAGATGCATGATGGGGTTAAGTCCTGATAAACCCATCATAAGTCAAAAATAACATAAATAAAAAACAGATTTAGGCTGGGCATAGTGGCTCACGCCTGTAATCCCAGCACTTTGGGAGGCCAAGGCTGGCAGATCACCTGAGGTCAGGGGTTCAAGACCATCCTGGCCAACATGGCAAAACCCCTTCTCTACTAAAAATGCAAAAATAGCCAGACGTGGTGGTACTGTCTGTAATCCCAGCTACTCAGGAGGCTGAGGCAGGAGAATCGCTTGAACCCAGGGAGGCATCTATAGTCTCAGCTACTTGGGAGGCTGAGGCAGGAGAATCGCTTGAACCTAGGAGGCAGAGGTTGCAGTGAGCCGAGATCACGCCACTGCACTCCAGCCTAGGTGACAGAGTGAGACTCCATCTAAAAAAAAAAAAAAAAAATCCCTTGCCAGGTATGGTGGCTCATGCCCGTAATTTTAGCTACTCGGGAGGCTGAGATAGGAGGATTGCTTGGGCCAGAGCTCAAGGCTGCAGTGAGCTGAGATCGCACCACTGCACTCCAGCCTGGGTAATAGAGTGAGACACTGTCTCAAAAAACAAAAATAAAAAATAAATTACCTTGCTAGACCTGTACTGCGATGTCCACCAGTTGGGGCAGTAAGGCCCTGCTCATCCTGTGGGCTTCACTCCCTGCTCCTAAGACACATGCTTTGTTTGGTTCCTCTGTCCCCTGTCCAACAGACCACCTCCCAGGGAGGGCATGGAACTTCAATTAGAATCCTGTGATTCAGAGCCTGTGCCCCAGTCCTTAAGAGGTGGTGCAATTTCATGTTCAGGACACACAGCCTGTGAAACCCCCAGCACCCACTCAATTTTGCTATATAACTAAATCTGTCTCAAAATACAGTGACTGAAAACAATCATGTGTTATTTTCATGAGCAGCAGGTTGGCTGGGACTTAGCTGATCTAGGCTGGACTTGGCTGATCTGGGCTTGGCTCAGCTGATCCAGGAGTGAGCTGGAGGCTGATCTGGGCTGTTCTTGGCTGATCTGGGCTGAATTTGGCTGATCTAGGTTGGACTTGGCTGATCTGGGTTGACTTGGCTGATCTAGGTTTGGCTCTGCTGATCCAGGTTGGGCTTAGGTAATCTAGGCTGCGCTTGGCTGATCTAGGCTGTACTTGTCTGATCTAGGCTGAACTTGGTTGATCTAGGCTGGGCTTCTCTGATCTAGGCTGTACTTGACTGATCTAGCATGGGCTTGGCTGATAGTCTGAGCTACTTGGGAGGCTGAGGCAGGAGGATCGCTTGAGCCTAGGAGATCCAAGGCTGGGGAGTGGGCTTATTCATGTGAGAGTTGCTGTGACCAATGGGATATGCTTGGACATTGGTACTTTCCTCTATTGCTGCCAGGGGGCCTTCATATCCTTGTAAGTAATCCTGGTAGCCTGCTGAAAAGGAGGCATTGCTGACCCCAGACATTTGTGAGAGGCTATCCTAGATGAGCTGGCCCCAGCCAAGTCATCCCAGCATCCTAGTCCACCCTTAGAATCATAGGCTATAATAAATATTTATTTATTTTAAGCCGTTAAGTGTTAGGGTGGTTTGTTATACAGTAAAGGAGCTAACTGATACACCACAAGGTCCACCATCCCAAATGTCAATACACTGCTTCAGCCCCAGAAATAAAAACAACTACCAAGTGGTTTAGATAGCTTCTCTCAGACTGAAGCTCAGTCCCCAGTCAGGAGGACTTTGAGGACAAAAGTATGGGGTCCTTGCCATAGGACCCAGCTCAGGATCTTCAGTTGGAAGAGGAACTTTCTAGAATTCAGGACCAGCCAAGACTTTTTTTTTTCTCTGTCATGTTTTATTTATTTTTTTGCAACCTTTATTTTATTTATTTTTTTGAGACGAGTCTCACTCTGTGCCAGGCTGGGTGTGCTGATCTCAGCTCCTGCAATCTGGCCTCCCGGAGTTCACACCATTCTCCTGCCTCAGCCTCCTGGTGGCTGGGACTACAGGGGGCCCACCACTATACATGGCTAATTTTTGTATTTTTAGCAGAGATGGGGTTTCACTGTGTTAGCCAGGATGGTCTCGATCTCCTAACCTCGTGATCTGCCCGCCTCCAACTTCCCAAAGTGCTGGGATTACAGGTTTGAAGTACCCATGCCCGGCCTATTTTTTGCAACTTTTTATAATGGAAGTTGTCTAAACAAACTGAAACAAGGTAGAATAATTATAGCAGACCCCCATAAAGCTGTTACTCGCCAAAAATTGTCAATCTGGCCTGGTGCAGTGTCTCACCGTAATCTCAGCACTTTGGGAGGCCGAGACAGGTAGATCACTTGAGGCAGAATAAACTGACAAGGAGAGGAAAAAACCTTAAAATACCAAAGAAAAACAAAAAAGTTATTTCCCACCAGGGTGTCCCTAAAAGATCAGGAGGTTTGAGACCAGCCTGGCCAACATGGCGAAACCTTGTCTCTACTAAAAATACAAAAATTAGCTGGGCGTGGTGGTGCACGCCATGGTCCTCAGCTGCTCAGGAGGCTGGTACGAGAATCACTGGAACCCAGGAGGCCGAGGTTGCAGTGAGCCAAGATTGTGCCACTGCACTCCGGTCTGGG